TGAGCTGCGGCCCTTTCTTAGCAGAGGAAGGTGGGGAAAGAGGTGAGCGCACCACGCTTCCTGGGAGAAAACAGGACCAGGTACAAGTTGCTGGGGGAATGAAAGGAAGAAAGGGTTCATAACTGCATATGAGTACTGATGAGATGAGAAACTTTCTTCGTGCTTGGTGATGACCTCTTGAATAGCTAAGACCAATTTTTGCCTTGTTGCCCCACAGATGCCACGCTTTCCAAAGACACTTATGTATAAACTGGCAAGTCCTGCTCAGAGGCAGTCTCGTCCCAGCCTTCCGAGATGCTCAGATCCCATCTTTCCGGGGCTGTGTAAGCAGGTGTGTCTGGTTCGGAGGGGGCTGTGCCATGCACCCAGCAGCAACGCCGACTGCTACCTCCACCACATGGGGGGCTCGCCCCTCATGGAAACCTTTTCTCTGGGCAGATCTCAGCCTCCATTGAGCCCCGACATACTTGCACCCCAGCGCCCTCGAGGCAGAGACCGTGCAGTTTGGCTCTTGGTACCACGCCTGCCGGGAAAGCTGAGCCGCCCGGGCGTTGGTGGGAGTGACTGAGGTCCACCCCGCGCCTCTGCCCCCTGGAGCCCTCACGGCTGTGAGGCATCACCTTCCCCTCTCGAGAAATAAGGATGCAGTAAGGGGAAGCTGGGATGAAATGGGAGAGAGGCATGGACATATATACACTACCAAACGTAAAATAGCTAGCTAGTGGGAAGCAGCCGCACAGCACGGGGAGATCAGCTCGGTGCTTTGTGACCACCTGTAAGGGTGGGATAGGGAGGGTGGGAGGGAGACGCAAGAGGGAGGAGATATGGGCACATATGTATATGTATAGCTGATTGACTTTGTTATAAAGCAGAAACTAACACAGCATTGTAAAGCAATTATACTCCAATAAAGACCTATCAAAAAAAGATAGAAGGTGTTTGGGCGTGACAGTGAAGGCTACAGAAATGCAGGGGCTATTCGACGACATCACTCTTTTCCAGAGGGGGCTGTGGCGTCCCTGGGGCAGGGCTGGGGTCACTTCCTGGGAACCGTGCTGTGATCTTTGGGGGCTTCCCTTTCCTTTGGTACCCTTGGCTTTCTATACCCAAGACTGTTGACGAGCCTTTACCCAACATGGGGACAACACCAGACACAAGCTGGCCAGTGGGCGGCACCTGAGGAGGAGGGATTGAGGCCATTCTGGAGACGCACCCCCTACCCCAGCCCACCACCCACAGGACAGCAGGCACCTGGGCACCTGGGGAGAGGCTCCAGGCCGGCCCTCCCCTCGTGCTGCCTGGTGAGGAGAGGCCAGCTGCAGCCTAGGGCCTTTCTCTGGCCGAACGCCCCCCAGACCACAGCTCACCACCAGGTCAAGTTGGGCTGCATCAGGCCTTCAGCCAAAAAACACCCACCTGGTCCAGGGCAAGAAGGCAACACAAGTGAGTGAGAATGATGCAGGGAGGGTGTGCACCTTGACCGTCTGCAGTATTTGAGATCAGAAGCGAGGTTTGATCTCTCTTTTCTGTAAAGCCCCAGACAGGAGAGATCACCCTATAAAGGCATTACGTGAAACAGGGCGAAAGCTGCCGACCCTCATGGTGGATCTGGGCAGCCAGTGTGTGCAGTGGCTAGAACGTGGCCCCGGTGTCAAGTCCGCTGGCTCACCTGGGAAAGCTGTCCAACACCCCCCTGCAAGCTGGGGATGGTGACGGGAGGAGGGAGCAGGGAGCCTGGAAGAAGAGCTGGGGCACAGGGAGCTGCCTGTGCTGCACGGACGTGGCTCTGGCTGTCTGCCCGTGGCCGCCCGTGGTTGCCTCGTGGTGGACGGCACGACCTTTCTCTCTCCCATCACCCTGTCGCTGAGTTGCTCTCCTGGACCTCCAGGACCTGCTATGGGGCGGGGGGGTGGGGGGTGATGCTTTTTCCCTTAACCGCAGGCTGGAGGGGGCATCACTCACTGGTGATGGCGAGCCTGCCTCACCACCCCCTCTCTCTGCGGATGCAGGGGCGGGGTACCGGAGGGTGACAGCGGTGCCTGGCCACACACTGTGACCCAGGACCTCCCCGCCCCGGCCGGGCTCTGCGACCTTCTCGCGTCGGCCACAGCTGCAGAGTTAATTCGATTTTGGTGGCCAGGCCTTGTCTAATTTAGTCAATAAACTGGATAACTTTGCCCAGAATGATCCAGACACCAAGGTTTTCCTATGTCACTCACCTGAGTTTTGAAATACTCATGTAATGTTCCCGTGACCAAAGTAAGATATCGTTCAAATCTGAGACTTTGGGGGAAGCAGAGTGCTGGGGGGAAAAGACGATGCGTCTGAAATATAGACGCGGAGAAAGAAGGCACCAAATACAATCAGAAATTCATCCAAGTCATATTCTCCTGAGAATTACCTTACCTACCTCCAGAGACAGCTGCGGTCATGTGACTACGTCACAAACTGTGGAACCAAACAGGTTAACCTGCATTCGGTCTAACAGATGTTCTCTGGAGAAGCTTAGACGCTCCAGTGGTGCTTTGTTTTGAACCGGGCTGGGAGCTGTCCTTCCTTCCTAGACCCCGTAGCAAAGACCTCCCACCGGGACTGGTATGCTACAGTGGCAGGACCTGCGCGGACAGGGGTCCCAGCAGCCACGGGATGCAGGGAGGCCACCTGCCTCCCAGCCTCTGCCAGGCCTGTGCTGGCCGCTCCTCCCCTGAGAACCTCGCACTGGGCCCCTTCCTGGTCACCAGTAATGGCCAGCTTCTCAATGAGCCCATCCAGTGGGGACCCGCCGGCCTTCAGACCCAGGGAGGTATGGAGCCTGGTGAACGTCAACAAGTGGCTCCACATCCCATCCAAGGGTGAGGTCCGGGTCCCTGCAGGTTTTCCTAATCGGTGCTGCCTGTCACTCTGTCCTCCTCCTGCAAAGGGAAGAGAAACTGCTCTCAACCTGAGAGCTAGTGCAGTCGCCGCAGCCTCCGCTAGAACCCAGCTGAACTGCTGTCCCCTCAGTCATTTCTCAGAAACCAGGTGGCCACCGTCTTGAGTTCAGAGCACTGAGATGGTGTAATTACTCTGTAATCACTTGGCGCTGTGAAGTCACCCACTACTGGTCACGGCAGCGCCTCTTGTGTTGAATCAGAATGACACACAGCCTGGGAGAGGGCGGACCGCCAGGCTGGGAGACAGGCACGACGTGTCTGATGGCAGAGGCACTTGCAATACAGCTAAACACTCACGGGGGCGGGGGGGGGGGACGGACCAGGCATCCATACACGTGTCTACCAGTCAACACTTTTAGCTGAATTCCTCTTCTAAACTGCTCACGGTATCATGGTGCTAGAACAGTCAAGATCATGTACATGGGATTATACAAGAAGTCAAGACTTAAAAAAGGAGCCCGGACTTTTGTCCCTGACCTTTTAAACAAACTCACATATTAACAAAGAGTCAACATCTAAATAGACTTTTATTTCTTTCTTTTACTTATTTGGACAGAAAAGAAAATTCATCAGCTTTCATTAGAGTCTCCCTAAGTGTTGGAGACGCATTAAACTCAGAAATAGTGGACCTTGTAGAAAAGCATCACAAATTAAAAATAGATTTCTCCACGTGGTAAAAGTGCTTCCAATCCAATTAAAGGACACGGCAAAGGTGTGTTGAGACGCGATTTAAAATTTGGCCTACGATCCGTGGCATCGGACTAAAACCACAGGCGAGGTGACCGTCATGAACCCGGGGACAGAAATGTGAGTTGGGAGCATGCTGCCAGCAACACTTTTAATTAACTGAGTGACAAGGAAGAACGTCCCAAAGCCTGAGTAGAGTAGGTTTGCATCTGTAAAAATAAGGGGGCGACATAAACTGGGTCAAAGGGGGATCACGTAACTCTAGAAATGACTGTTTCTTATCTGCGGGGACAGCCAGACCAGCCGACCACCCTGGCCGAGGTCTCCCAGGGAGACCTGTGGACCTCGGTTCAGAAAAGACCCAGGTGTTCTGGGCAGTAAGCAAAGCCCTTGCTGCCAGCTGCTCGTCACGTAGGCCTTTCTGGCTGGCGGTGAGCAGGCCCCCGGCCCACGGGAATCACGCCCAGCCAAGCTGGTACAGGTGGGTTTGCCAATGCCCACCACACCGTTCTGAGGGGTGCTGTGAGGCCGGCAGACACTGCCCGGTGACCATGCGAGGGACACAGTTAGCCAGTGGTCATCCGCAGAGACATTCTGGTGTCTCAGCCATGCTGTGTGTTTTCCAAAACAGGTAGTCCTGCTAATGATGACAGAGCTCAAGGCCCGCAAGCCGCCGTGGTCTGATGGAGGCGAGGTGCCCTCTCTGGCCCAGGTCTAGGCCTGTGATCATATGCAAGGAGCCACGACAGGGTGGGGTGAGAGGGGGAGGGCAGGAAAGAAAAGGGATATCTCCTTTTACAGAAGATCTGAAGCAACAGTAAGAAAATAACCTGAAGACATATTCAAAAACAAAAAGCAGCCTCACACTTCACTGTCATTCTGTCACCGTTCTCTCTTCCTCCCCGTCCACCAGCCACGCAGGGATGGGCAGGAAGGCCGCGTGGACGTATCAGAGGGCCCCGCTCCCCACGCCGTCGCTGCCTTTTAACGGCGCCAGGCTGTGTTTCTTCTACGAGCCCCGTTCTAAGCTGCCTGCGCAAGGCAAACGCTGGGAAACCCTCCGGGCTCTCGCACACACCTGCGCAGTCCCAGCTGCGCAGAGCCCACCAGGCTCGCTTCCCGCCACCTGCAGGCACGGCGAGACGCGGACCACGTCACGGATGTCTCGCCATCTTCACCAAGCAGAACACGCTCCGGCTCATCTCATCCCATCCCCGGCGCCCCTGGTGGCAGCAGCCCTCCCAGGTCCCCTGTGCTAAGCGGGCTCTCCCGCGGCCTCCAGGGGGTCATAAGGGTGCCCTCCATGGCCCCTCGCTGGCGGCACGGCGGGTCTGGTTCGGGGCCACACCTGCCGAGTGCTTGCTCCGAGGCGGTGGCCGCTCTCCGGAGGGAGGCCGTGCTCTTCTTTGCGTGGAAAGCGGGATGGCGCCATCCTCTGACCAGGTCCGTCCTGGTCCCTCCAGAGGCCCCGAGCACCCCTCCCGGGCCGCAGCCCCACGCAGGGCGTCTCCGGGTCTCTGGCCGGCGGGTCGGACGTCAGGCTCCCCCTCCCCTCCCTGGACCTGGTCCTTACCTAACCTGGGCCGCACCCCCGGCATCAGAGGCTCGGAGAAGTGTCCTCCAGGCCCAGCAGCTCTCGCACAAGTCTCTCCCCAAACTGGGCCCGGCTGTACCTCTTCACGTGGTAGGCCTCCGACATCTTGTACAGGATGTAGGCGTTATTGATGGCAATGCTGATGGCAAACCAGAACACCTGTTGCCAGGTCTTGTTTGGTTTATGAGAAATGAAATACCTAAGAGGACAGAACGGCAAGAAAGGCTGACTCAGACAGTGCCCGGGGACCCGGTGCAGGAGAGCCATCCCCAAAAGGCCTCATCGGGGTCAGCGAGATGCTGCAGGGGACGAGGCGGTGGGAATCCGGCTGTGGGGAGGGGCAGCCTCTCTCTGAGGCTTGGTCACGTGAACCGTACTTGAATGTGCAAACAACCCCTATCAAAGATCAGGTGGGAGGAGGCGCGTCACCACAGGGGACACGGAGACCAGGAGCCGGGCCTCTGCGGTGCAGCCCGGAGCTCTGGCGGGAACCGGGCCTAGGGGCTCCCCTGCGCGCCGAGGGCCCTGCGCAACTGCGGCACAGCCCGAGCCATCTCGCGCCGCGTCCGCCCGCAGCTCTGTGCGTGTCTCTTCACCACGCCTGCCTCCCCTCAGATGGAGGCCTCCTCTGCCCCGAGGCGGAGAACGGCGCTCCCCACCAGACAGCCAACTCAGGACCCATCCCTGCGCCGCGCCCTCCGTCTGCACGTGTGTTTCTGCACCCCGGGGGCCAGGAGCCTCGGCACCACCAAGACGCCCAGCCAGGGCGGCCGCGGATGTCCATTCGCTCAATCGTGCCGATTATCCTAGAGCCACCGTGCAGGCCTGCGAGGTGCCAGGCACGCTGCAGGCTCCGCGGAGACCTTCCAGTGACTCCCTAGGCAGCGGGGCTCCCTCTCACACCTGGGCTTTCCCAGGAGACCCAGGTCCACGTGCTGCCCTCCCCGCCCACAAGCTGCCCGGGGAGATGTCCGTGGCCCTCAAGGAGGGCTGAGAAAATGCCCACCACCTTTGGGGTTAGTGCAACCCTGTTTCAGGCTGTGAGGCTCAGGCCCAGTAATTTCATAGGCAGACCGAGGTTCAAGGGCAACCACTTTTTCCCTCCTGTTGTGGACACAGGAGCTCACCCCGAGACAGCAGGGGGCCGCGTACATGCACACCGTGCGGGCACTTGACGATGACCCCACACCTGAGACCGCGCCCACACGCGAAAGAGCTCTGTAACCAGTGCCGGAAAACACGCGGCCCGGCCCGATGGCGCCCGGGGCCCAGAGGGCGTGGGGTGAAGGCCAGTGGCTAGGCCAGGGGGAGGGGCAGAGAGGGCAGCGGTGCAGAGGGTGGGGGGCTGGGCGGGCTCTCTCTCTCTCGGGCTCTCCCGTTGTCAGCTCTGAACCTGGGGACACTGACCGCCCAGCAGCCCCTCTGTTCTCGGCGGCGAGGCCTCCCGTGCCGGGGCCAGCTCACTTACTTGCTGTACTTGTCATCGTACTTGCAGATGTAGCTGAGGTGGGCGGCGAAGGCCTCCACGGCCAGGGGGCAGGGGATCTCCCCACTTCTCCTCTTGATGATCACTCCTGCGGGGAACAGACGGGACATCCCCTCTGAGCAGCCCCCCACAGACCCCCGTGCAAAATGCGCCCCCTCCCCCCTGCCTGCTCGTCAAACAGACGGCAGGGGACAAGACGGAGGGAAACCACCACCAACACCGCCACTGCAGCTTCAGGGGAGTGCAGGACACTGGGCCACGGCAGGGCCACGGCACGGGGGTACGACACGGGCTACAGCAGGGGAGATGGAGGGGAACCACCACCACCGCCACCGCAGCTTCAGGGGGGTGCAGGACACCGGGCCACGGCACGGGCCACGGCACAGGCCACGGCAGGGCCCGCTGCACCCGATGGGGCCTTGAGAGCAGAAGGGGAGCTCAGGACCCACCTTCCCCTCCCTCCCTCCCCCAGGCTTCAACCCCTCCCGCCAGGGTCTAAGCGGGGGTGGGAGGAGGTGGCCACCGAGGTCAGGGAGCCTGGGGTCCCTTCCGCCTGCCCTGCCGCCCCCATCAAGGAAGAGGGTGGGACTAGAGGCTCAGGAGAGGCAGGAGCTGCCCTGACCCCAGGCTCTTCCAAGCCTCGCGCCGCGCACAGAGCACTTCACACCCGGCTGCCCCTGGCACTCCCTCTCTCACACGCCTTCAAACGCCTCTTCCTCCCAAATACACACGGAACCACGTCCCAGGGCCACTCGCCAGGGTCACGGCAAGATTCAAACGGCCCACTGACTGGGCATGAGAAGCAAAAAGAGGCTGTCAGTCCTCTTCAGCCTGCTGCCCAACAACCTGCTTTCCAAGACCTGCCCTGCCCACCCGGGTGGACGTCCACTGCGCCCACAGAGGTGACGCGGGGGCGGGAAGGGCACTTGCGCAAGCGAGGTCGGGATTGCAGAGCGCTTGCTCCGCGCAGCCCGCCCCCATCCCCGCTGCCGGCAGAACGGTGTGATTAGGAGAACAGTGCCACTCAAGAGGCTGTGGGTTTTCAGCACTACGTACATGGGCGTAACTGAAATAAAAATGGTCACACAGGTCCATCTGCTGAGACTGGTCACACAGGTCCATCTGCTGAGACTGAGCCCTGAGCCGGGATCTTTTTTGTCCCCCACTCCGCTCCCCACATACTGAATTTTTGCACCAAAGAAGCACCTGGACATCTTGTGAGAGACTGAGAAGCCAGGCCCCGCCCCCAGAGTTGTGGTCTGGGGGAGCCTGGGGCAGGACCCGGGCAACACGTTTCCTAAAGCCTCCAAAGCTCAGAGGACCTCCGTGCCCAGCCAGAGGGTCCTGGGCCCTGTTTTCTTAGGGATCCTTTTCCCACTCAGAGAGATCCTTTTCCCTTTTCTATGGTTGGGTGATGCAGATGCACGTGCATCCTCCAAGGCTGGGCTCCTGGCCAGAGGGTCCTGGGCCCTGTTTTCTTAGGGATCCTTTTCCCACTCAGAGAGACTTTCTATGGTTGGGTGATGCAGACGCACGTGCGTCCTCCAAGGCTGGGCTCCTGGGCCCTGGTTGCTTAGGGATCCTTTTCCCACTCAGAGAGACGTTCTATGGTCAGGTGATGCAGCCGCATGTGCATCCTTCACGGCTGGGCTCCTGCCTCCAAGGAGGGCTGTGTCTCTGCAGCACCCTTCCTGAGGGGACCTGTGCTGGTGTCTCTGCTCACCACCCCGCCCGACCTCAAGTCCAAGTGGGCAAACACCCCAGTTTCACACCCCGGCCCAGGCACATGGCCTTGGGAGGTTTCCCACCTCCAGCTCCATTTTAATTTGCCCAACTTTCGACCACAGCCTCCTCTGGGACTAAGGAGGCGCCTGTAGGGCTCCCCAGAGTCCACATGTGTATGAGCAGATCAGACCATCCCATAAGGAAATAAGACCCCCTCCGTTCTTTTCCCAGAGGAAGAGGACAACTCACTCCGAGTCACCAGGGCTCCGAGCGGGTCAGGCCCACTGCCCGAGGGCCTCAGCCAGCATCGTGCCCCTGGGGCTCCCCGCCTGCAGCTCCGGCTGCCCCTTCTGCACAGCCAGGGCCGCTGCTGTCCCGGCACACCCAGCCGTGCCAGGCCTGCTTTCCTTCTCCGTTTCCCTCCCGTCCCTTCGAATGTTTTAACCCAACATGAGGATTGCAGCTGGAAATCTCAGGAGACTGGTTTCAAAATCCAGGTGTGCGTCAGTCTCTTTGAGCATTTCCCCAAGTTCATAAACCAGTCCACGCTCCTCTCTGCTGACATTTTGGATTTTAGATACTATTCGAGCTGGAAAGGGTAAGACTGCTGTCCTATAGTATCTGTTTCTGAGGACTGAAAAGCTTTAGACATTGGAAATACTGACAAGAGGTGATGTGATATTTATTGTGTCCTCTGGCATCATAACCAGGAACGCCGTGTTCCCCTGGGTGCACCCTGTACATTTACAGCCGTGTGGGGGACCCTCTGCGCACAGCTCTATTCCTTGTGTCTACCTCTGTGACACTGTAGATCCACGTGGGCCTATGAGAGAACCATGTGTCTTCATGTTCCAGTGAGTTCTGTCTTCTGCCTTCCCCAGGCTTTTTCTGGCTGGGCTGACCTTCTTTCCGTCCTTCTGTAAGTCTGAATGAATGAGTCAAGACCTGACTCACAGACCCATGCAGACATTCCACACTCACATTAGCCTCATGGAATCTGAACCCTAAGTGGGCAAAGACGGAGATGGCAACGAGCTGGTAGACTCAACATGGATTCTAGAAGAAATGCAAAAGGATGTGGTTCTCAACGGGGATGTCCCTGGATGAATGACAGCATGTAACTTAAGAAGCCTACATATGCTCACCATCTCTGAAAGAGGGCTCATTTCCCCTTAGAACCTGGAGTAAAGAATAATAAATCAATCCCTAAAATGTTCATAACTAGTTACATGTTTTCTAAAATTCGAAATTCTGCTCACGTTCTAGGAGAGCAAATATGGTCACGGTAGAAGACGGTATAAAGCTGAGAAGCAGTCTTTAGAATATAGGAGACTTTGCCATCTGGGTGACGTTTAAAATAAGTAGGGAATAAAAGAATTATTTGATAAATGGTTCAGGTACACAGGTGGGGCTGCTTGGTCAACCAACCTTTGCCACCTAATGAAAAAAAAAATCGTAGCAGCCCAACTGGTGCCATGACCAAAATAAATTCCAAGTGGATGGCTGCAAAGAGCACAAAATCACCCTATAAAACAACCAAGTGAACTATACTTACCTGGCCTTGGGACAGAGCAGGGGCTTTTAAGCATGAGAGCGAATAACATGATCAACAGCTGTGCCTATGCGGAGATGAAAAACCCTTTTGATGTTAAAATTACTGGCCATAAATAAAAGCACAAGGAAAGCAAACGAAGAAAAATATCTGCTATAGGCATAAAATCTGCTTTCAATTTCGTAAGCCAAATACTTCAAATGAAAAACTGACAAGAACATGAAAAAATCATTGAAAATTAGCTAAAAACACAGGAAAAGATGTTCAACCCCACCAACAGCCACCGCAATTTATATTTAAAATTTTGGGGCTTCCCTGGTGGCGCAGTGGTTGGGAGTCTGCCTGCCGATGCAGGGAACACGAGCTCGTGCCCCGGTCCGGGAGTATCCCACGTGCCGCGGAGCGGCCGGGCCCGTGAGCCATGGCCGCTGAGCCTGCGCGTCCGGAGCCTGTGCTCCGCAACGGGAGAGGCCACAGCAGTGAGAGGCCCGCGTACCCCCCCACCAAAAAAATTTGTAGCATTTTCAGCCATCATATTGACAAATTTAGAAAAGAAAAAAAAAATAGTGTTGATAAAGCAGGAGGAATCTCGGTCCCCTCATAACCCACTGCAATGGCAATAAGTACAGCCTTTTGGCAACACAGCATCAAGAGCCCTAAAAACGTTCAGACCCTGTGGCCCAGCCGTTCAACTTTTAGATTTATCTGGAGGAAGTGATCAAAGATGTACCTGAAGATTTACATATGAAGGACGTTCCCTACATCCTTCCTATTATGAAAAAAGGATCATTCATAGGGGACAAGATAAAGAAATTATGATACATCTAAGGATGGAATACGAGGTGCTTTTTATTGTTTTTTTATTTTTTATTATTTATTTTTTAATTTTTATTATTTATTATTTATTTATTTATTATTTAATTATTTATTATCATTATTTACCTCCTTCATTAAGAAACGAGGCCCTAGGATGTGGGCCAGGAGAAGGATTCCCGGTGGGGTGCGTGCCGGCCACACGGCCTCCACTCTGCGAGCCCCCTGGGCCACACCCAGGGTCTCCTCTCACCCGCCGGGCTCCCAGTGTCCATAGGCCCTGGGGGTGCCCAGGGGTCTGGCGGTGGGGGTCAGTCTGTGGCCAGGCTGTGGACACACTCCATGGGATTTTCAAGGGCGACTAGGATTGGGGACTGCATGATGTATAATAGAGTACGTACTTTAGAAAACCATCACGGAATTGAACACAAATAATAGTTTCGGCGTATTTAAAAATCACCCCTCCCAATTTTCTCATCTTGCCTCAACAGCCTCCTGCCTCCTTCCCTTGGTGCCTGATTTAAGGGTTCTCAGGTGTGTCATCTTCAGTCCTATTGCAGGCTTCTCCCTAACCTCCCCAGATGCGGTCTCTTCTCTGCTATCTCATTTCACCCAGCTCAGACAAGTGTGACATCCTTGCTTTGGGACATCGTTCCAGAGGCTATCACTTAACATAACTTGATGGGAAGCAGCTCCCATGCCCGACACCCACACCTGTTCCTAGAGACACTCTGGCCCTGAGGCCCCAACCGCAAGACAGCCGAAGTCCAATTCAACCTGGCCTTCAGCTGACAAGGTCAATTCCAAACCTCTCCTCTAAGTGCCCTTGACATAGCACTCGAGGGGGGGGTCACTTTCTCCACCCCCTACACAAAAGTGGGGTAACGACACCCACGTGCTTGAGTCCCTCGGATTGAGTCTCCACTGAAATGTACACAACTTAGGTGTGTGGGGGGGGTGAAGGATGGGAATAAATGAACAAGAGGCACTAAATACACACCCAGATACCACATACATACCACACACACGCACGCGCAGACACACACACACGCACATCGCACACCCCTGAGCTCCTTGGCAGTGTTCCTTTAATAGAGAAGAGGAAAGATGTCTTAATGTAAAGGAACACAAGGGACTTTTCAAATACACTACGCAACGATAAATATTTTTGTAAAGGGTCCCTTTGTCACTGCAATTTCCTTTTCTGTTGTTTAATCGTGTTTGAGCTGTAGGTTACCTTAAATATAGGCTCCTTGCTAAATGAATCCCCATGTTAGCAATGGATTTTAAATCCCAAGGAAAATCAATGATGATACCAGCTGAACCCCCCAAAAACCCAACGCTAGCAATTTAACTTCTAAGGAAGACATTTCAAAGATAAGAATGGCTGACTATTCCCCCCGCTCCCATCAGAACAGATTTTTCACAGAATCCTAGATGATCATGTAAATACCGTTCAAACGGAGCCTATTCATCACACCGCATACGACCTGGGGGACCTGCAAATGCCAGCCTCACAGCTTCTGTTGGCGGCTGGCAAGTCCCAGGCAGCGGACAGCCTGCGGGTCCAGGAAGCGCTTGCCGCCCCACGAAGGGCAGCAGCCGTCACCCTGCGGCCCAGAGCCGAAGAGGGGCAGGGGTCACCCGACGCCAGAGCTCACCCACACCCCTGCCCCGGCGCCCACCGCGTGCCCACCTTGCTGCACGGGCGAGTAGGCGTTGGTCAGGAAGCGGAAGTGCCCTTTGTTGTACCAGCAGATCAGGGACATGCTCCCCTTCGTTCGGATGCTGTGCTGGCCCCGGGCGGGCGGCAAGGCCGGGCTGCTCAGCATGGAGGACGGCAGGCCGGTGCAGTCACTCTTCCTGGGGCTGAGCAGCCCGCAGCAGTAGATCCCTGAGGGGACACGGACCGCACGGCCTCAGGGCAGCTCCCCCCCCACCGACCCACCGGGCTCGGCCCTCGGCCCCCCC